TATCACTCAATCAGGTTAAATTAGTTCAGCTAAGCTCATGGTTTAAAGTCACTAAAACATTTTTACAGGTCTAGAAGTTACTTTAGAATACTTTAAAAGGGCACATTTGGAGGATCTTTGAGAAATGAAAATTAAATTTAAAAGCTTGTATTTCACCTGTCGGAATATTTCATGTATTTTGCTGATCTTGCCGTCAAATGTATTCTTCTAAAAAAAAAAAAAATTTTATCATCTTTTTTTTTAGATGTACAAAATACGTCCACGCCGAACCAGCCCACAAGGATTACTAATGTTTTGTATGATTCTGATGTTTGTAGTCCTGGCCATCAATGTTGTGCTGTATGAGCTTACGCCACAATATTCTTCATTTGGTAGTGAACATTATGTAAGTTTTTATCTTAGATGTTAATGTAAAAAAAATTTCAATAAATTTTCTGTTGTTGACATAAAGTATAGAATGTTTATTTAAACTATTAATAAATTAATTTATAAAACACACTTCTTGAATCATTAAGAACTGTGCATTAATTAAAAATTCCATAAATTTCATTTAGGCATTTTAAAGAATATTCTGTAGTATAAAAAGTGTGCTCTGTGTTCTTCAAAAATTATATAATATACAATTGTAACATGCCGTATCTGGAAATTTGTTTGAAATAAATTTCGTAGACGGAAAATTGATCGACAGAAATTTGATCGAACTGAAGTTTGGTCGAATGTTGTTTTCAGTTCACACGATTTAATTTTGTGTAAAAATTCCTCTTGAATGCATTATTTTGTTTTACTATATAGTATAGTGCGTTCTAAAAGAAATTTGAAAAAATTTGACCAAACTTCCATTCAATCTGTCTACGAAATTTATTTCAAACAAATTTCCGGTAACCGTAACATACATTCAGAGACTAATCGAGTGATGGCATAAAACAGATATTGTGCTCTACATTTGTTTTCTAATTATGTATGTCTAGTGGTCATCACGACTCAATGAAGTTAATGCTGTACCAGTATTTCAAAAAAATAAGTTAATTTGATACAAAATCTTTTTGGAAATTTGAAACCTAGCCCTGTTTTTAGAAAACTTGATATATTTTTCACATTGGCCAGTGAGACTAAATAAACATTGCATAGACCTAATTTGATGATACCTTGAAGTTTTAGAGAAGGAATTAAATGTGAGATTTCAGGATATCAAAATGGCATATTGATCTCCAAATGAATGTTATAATTTTGACATTTATAGAGATTTCTTTGAGTCAAAGTGGTGGCAAGCCCCATGAAAACATCTGGCACATGGTCAGTTTGAACATGCCCGCCTTTAATATTGGTACCTAAATATTTTATCAATGCCTTAAATTTGTTTTCTCAAGTATTTATGTTTTTTTTTTTGTTTCTTAAATATTAACAAAGCTAAAGAAGAACTAGAAACATTTTTTTGATAATTTTTTCTCAGATGAACTTTACAACTGAAAACAATGTGACAAGTTCTTCAGTTAAACAGTGCACAACTGCTGTCAGTGAAGGTAGAGAGTTTGTAAGATTACTTTTTATTAAATCATTGGGAAATACATTTTTAAAATTGCATTTTCCCTTTCTAGATTAAAAGTATTATATTTAGTGTGTTTGATGCAATTAATGTACAATACTTTTTTTTTTTTAAATCTAGATTTATGTGTGGTCACACGAATGACCTTGCTGCTTGTCCGATTTTTCTACAAAATGTGGGTGTTTGGTGCTGCATACTATTGGCTGACCTGGGCCTTCTTGGGGGTTGGTACATTTTTTAATTTTATACTATTTATATTATGATTATTTAATAATTTAGATATTCCTTGATTAAATTTAAAAAATGTATGATCAATTAATATAAATGCTATTCTCCAAAATGACTGAGGTTTACAAACATAGCAACACTACATAATTTACATGATGTCCATTTCTTTGAAAAATATAATATGACACAGTAATTCCTAACTGTGGATCAGATCCTATCTAAATATTTTTTGTAAATCATAACAGTGTTGCAGGTATGAAGGTTTTTTAAAAAACGTTTTAGACAATAGACATAGCAGTGGTGTAGTCATTCCAGATATCATGGTGCCTCCCCCAGTACATAGGTATGTAACCAGGCACACCTTCCCATGGTGCGTCCCTCTGTACATTTGTATGTAACCAGGCGCACCTTCCCTACAAAATTACAGTATATACTTTTTAAATTTGCTTTATTTAACCTATCATTATTACGTGTCCATCTTTACAAAAGTTATGTTTCACTTATGTGTGTCACAAATTATCTAAAATAATAATTAACATCATTTAAAGTAAAAACAACTAGGACACCATACTATGTAGGTTTAACATAATATCTACCAAGTGATTGTTGTGACAGTTAACATTTTAATATTAGTATACTATGTTATTGTTGTGACGGTTAACATGATATCTACTTTAGTGTACTATGTGATTTTTGTGGAGTTTATAAAATAACATGGTACAGTACTTTTTATTTTATGACTACGCCACTAGCTGTGAGAAAAAATCTAAGTAACCTGTCGTAGAATATCGTGAAGAATAATTTTTAATATAAAAAAACTAACAAAAATTTTATTTTATTCTTTGCTTACAAAATGTTCTACTGTAACAAAATTGTTCATCTTTCTAGGGCTTAACAGGGTGTAATTTTTTACTCCGGGTCTAGGTAAAAAATACCCGGTGGCTTTTAGTGATAAAAAAAAGACTTAACTTGTCAGTTTCTATAATTAATAATATATGCCCGCCCTTAAGCAATAGGTCTATAGACAGTCATACACCCTACCTGCTTGCTTTTAGACAATGGGCTTACAGACAGCATTTCACCTGCCTGTGGGCTTTATAACAATAGGCCTAAAGACAGGTCTACACCCTCCCTGTAGGCCTTTAAACGATAGTCCAACAGAAAGTCCTACACCAACTCTGTGGCTCTTTATTAATATTAATAGAATAGTCGCACAAAAATCATCCTATTTACCATAGTTATTCAACCGTCACGCATGAAGCTCTCTGCAACCGTCATGCAGGAAGCTCTCTGCAACAGTCACGCAGGAAGCTCTCTGCAACCGTCACGCATGAAGCTCTCTGCTTGACAGCTTTTTTTTTTACACTTGGTACTAATAATATAAAACGTGGATTGGAGATGGATTTTGTTTTGAAGATGAAGCAGGACACAGCAGAAGCTAAATATATAGGCAACATTTATTTTCTAAATTGTAAAAAGTTACTTATTTGATCTATTTTCCCTTATGAAAATGAAAACTTTCTTTAAGTGAATATGCCCATCTGTAATTGCAGACTTTTTTGATTGGTTTCCTTGTGGCGGTTATAAAGAAAAGGCGATCCGCTATTAGCGGTGAAGTTGATGAGGACGACTTTGAGGAAAGTGATGATGAGCTGATTAGAGGATAAAAGACTGTGACAAAATCTGTGATTACCACAAGATATAATGTAAATAATTAAGCAAATGTTATGGGGAAAAATTTTTGATGTTGAGTCTTTGTTATTTAAAAAATTAATTCTTTTGTACTTTTCAAAAACCTTTTGTAAAATTTACATTGCAACTTTAGCAGGAAAAAGTTTGTGTCTAGAATTATTATTATTAGGTGGTTTATTTAGCGCAGTACCCTAGCCTAGGGTTAGGCTCACTGCACTTCACATAAAAATTACCAATAACAGAAAAGTATACATTTTTAAAAAAACAATTGGTGTAAAGCTTGACCACACCCACCCAAGCACTATCTACCCATGTCTAACCTCACCCAACAATCTACCCATGTCTAGCCATGGACAGCACCCAGCAGAATCGAGCATTTATCAGTCAATGGGGAGTTAGGAGACGGTATAGTAAAGTTTGAAGAGATGGGTCTTGAGGACAGTTTTGAAGACTGTGATGGTCGTTAAATTACGGATGTGTAGTGGAGAGAATTCCATTTTTATACTTTTAGTTAACTATTATCTGAGAAAAAAAATTCAGTTTTCAAGACAAATTAATTTATGTTAAATAAAATATATATATATGTGAATTATAAAAGTCTTATTTGGCTTACTAGCCCTTCTTGTCCTTTGTCAACACTTTATTTGCCACAAACATTTTTAGTGAATAATATAATCTTTTTTTTCTTTGTTTTGTAAGCAACGCTTTCTTAATAATTTGGAGAAATTATTTTTTTTTATCAAAATTAGCGGGAAAGTTTTTATCAGATTTATTCATAAGTAATGCAAAAAGGTTATCCAAGTGTAAAAAATTATCAAGAACGGTTTCTCTGTCTTGGAGACTATTTTAGCCAAAATCTAATAGGAGACATTGTAATAGTAATTGTAATAGTAATAGAAGTACTTACATTTTAGAAGAAGATAGAATTAAAACCTGTTAATTTGGTATAATTTTGAAGGAGATAGAATTAAAACCTGTCAATTGGTTTCTGTGCCAAATAAGCTTATGGTATGTATCAACCGTAGGTATTGTATTGTTAACAGAAAATATAATTTGTTTGAGTTATGTATTTCGCATTCTAAATTTTGTACATGTTAATTTATGCTCTTTTATAAAATAAATCTGTTTTGGTGATTAACTTTGGGGTTATTGTCTTGATTGAAATGAAGTGGTGAATTAACTTTGGGTTATTGTCTCGATTGAAATGAATTCGTGAATTAACTTTGGGTTATTGTCTCGATTGAAATGAAGTGGTGAATTAACTTTGGGTTATTGTCTCGATTGAAATGAATTCGTGAATTAACTTTGGGTTATTGTCTTGATTGAAATGAAGTGGTGAATTAACTTTGGGGTTATTGTCTTGATTGAAATGAAGTTGCTTTGTCAAGACAACTTAGGATGACAAATTCGTTATACCGTTATATAATCAAAACCAAACTTGCTCAAGTAACACTATATGATAAACTTTTATCAAATGAACCAGTTTGTATGGAGCTTAATAATAAAAATCATATTCAAAAACTAAGAAGCCAAGAAAGAGAATTTTTTAAATAGGAATGTTTTAATGACCAGTTACCAAAATCATATCTAAAAATGGTGATTGGTTGGTTTAAACAAATTCTGCTTGTTAGTTCATGCCAAAAATATACAATTTAAATTAAGCTAGTTGACAGAATCACATATTTTAAGTTGAATTTATTTTTGAAATCATAACATCCCATTACGTTAAGAAGAACAATACCTTGACAGAAATCAACTGTGAAATCAAAGCATATTTAAGACTTTTGAAATTAATTTTTAATAATTCTAAGCTATTTGGTGTTTTTTTTAGTATTTTTAGTTTTTTTTAAATTTACTGTTAATTAAGTCATAAAATAAGCAGTGATACTCCCATACACCAGGCCTGCACAACTCAAAATGTAAGGTGGGCCGTAATACTTTACGAAAAACTTGTGGGGGCCAAAAGAAAACAGGACAGGACTTTGCAAGCCAAACGAAAATTGGACGAGGGGAAAGCTATTAAGAAAATAATAAGAACAAAGAATATTTCTTTACTTGGCTGGCCCCAAAGTACGTGGGCCGTATGTTGTGCAAGCCAGCTATAAAGTATCATTTTGACAAGTGTTAATTTATTTTGTCATTTAAAGGAGATGAACATTCATTAAACAAAATTCTTGAACTAGGTCAATGAACCCTTTTTAAGAAAACTGTTCCCTTCTTCAGAAGGGTATACTGACCTCAGTAATATCTTCCATTACAGATTTTCTTTTTTTAAATAAACATTAAATTAAACATTAATCAATCTTAAATCCCCCATGCATCTATAGTTTTATCTAAATAAAAAATGCAATTGTTTTATAACAGAACCAAAAGCATGTACAATAGTTGTTAAAGATTAAGTTATGAAGGTTAACAATAAAATTCACATTAATTTTTACCAATACAAAACATTACAGTAAAATCAGTTGGTACACTAATATTTTTAATTTTCCTCCCAGTACGAACTTTTCATAATTCGCTCTTTCAACAAAACATCTAATATAATAATTTTAATCATACTGTTGCTCAGAAATGAAAACGTGTTGTAACGGGAATTTCTGGCCAAATAAATAAACAGAAATGGGCCGGCATAATTATTTCAATTCATTGTTTGAAAAAAAAAATTTTTAATATACAAAGTGGGCTAATAGATTGGTTGAGCAAATCAGGCTCCTCAGTGCTACTAAAAGCTTTCTTGGAGCCGGATGTTAATTTTATGCCTCTGAGGATTAGCTTTAGATTCTGATGCCTTAAAGTGCTAATTTTCTCTCCATTGTTTTATGTATGCTGTTGGGTCTTTCTTGAAAGAAAACAACTAGTAAACCCCTTTATAATAATAAATTCATCACATTACAATTATTTTTTTATTGTACTTTACACTAAGGGACTACGATGTTCTTAAATTTAGAACCATACATAGAGGATTATTTACATCACGTTTTATTGTGACACAAGCTGACTTCACCAAAATACACACTAGTTGGTACGGAGCTGGTAATCACCATTCTGTGTGATGTATCTAACCCATGGGAGCGCTTGGTAACCACTCTTTTCAATGATCTTCAGATAACGAACCTGGGATTTGACAAAAATGTACAAATTAGATACAAATAATAGCACGCGATGATAAGCAGAGCACATTAATAAACTTCTTTCGAACTTTTTTGTTTGTCAAATTGTTTAATTTACTTATATTGGTGTCTAAAATAAATTTAAAAAAGCATCGATTTGCTTCCCCATTAAAACAATTTAATATCTCATAACTTTGTAATTGAAATTTTTCTTTTAATCACTCCTAGTACTACTAGAAAAATATGTCATGCTGCTTAAAATTTTAAGTTTGCTTACCTGGATACCAGAGACTGTAAAATAAGGAATTTCAAACTTGACACTTATCGGTGGCTTTCCTTCCAATTCTTCATTCTGAACACTTGGCAAGCCAAAGTGTGCCCTCATCAAGTATTCTTTACCACCCTATACAACATTGTTTTAACATAAATTAAATATTTTAACAATAATTTTTTTTCATTTTTTACAGCTTAAGATTATTGAACATTGAATTCTCTCTTTGAGTTGATGTTACTTTTCTTTAGACATCTTCTTTAGTACATTTTGCTACTGGTACCTCATAGGGTAAAATGCCAATCATTAAAACTTTCTGCAATCACTATTAATCACAGCTTCTGATTTTCACTAAATCCAATAGACTGCATTGGAAAAGTTTAATTTTTTTTTAGACAGCATCTTTTATCGATAACATTAGAAAAAGATAAATTGCAATATTATTCTCACAAAATCATGTATACAGTAAAAAGACTCACTGGGAAAGATTTGATAGTCCAAATGATACAGTTGATCTCTGGCACATATTTACAATTCCCTATTGTAGTTTTGAATTTTGGTGAATCTGCATCATTCGGTACAGGTATAATGATTTCCACGTTATTTGCTGTGGATCTTCTTTTGAACTGGCTTTTAGCCTAAAAAATAAACCAGTTAAAACACAATCTAAAATGAAAATAGAGATTTAATTATATCAAAGTTTAATATGTATATATAAAAAGCAAAAATTCTTTTTGTTGTCATTAAAATTAAAATGACTAATGTAAGTAGCAATCTTGAAGCATTCATGCAATGAAACAATATATAATTTTTTTGGCCAGTTACAAATATATTAGTTAGCTATGTCTTTGTGTTGGCAATTATCATAACATTTCAAAGGCAATAACTCGGACAATAATTATAACAAATAACACTAATTAATCATCGTCACAACAAGAAATAAAAAAATACATGGGGGAAGAGGGGAGAAACATTATTCGATTATTAAAAAATATATATTAAAAACAAACTAAATATATCTCACCTTTATCATGTATTCAACTCTGCTGTGAACGTGCCGTTCAATTACAGACTCAACCCAAAGTAGGGGCTTTACCTGTAAATTTAAAACATTATATGTAAACAGGTACGCAAAATTTATCATAAAGGCAAACACAACCATAAATTTAGTGAGGTGTTAAATTTATGTCACTCACATGGGTGTTCAGTCTGTAAGACATGAGCTCAAATTCCCCATCAGGGGGAATAAAAGAGATTGTTCTGTCATTTTCAAATCGCGACAAACGCACACACTGATGAAATTTCACATCTTCAAGTTCGACAGATTTGCTTTTTCCTCCTGAAATAAGCATGAATATTACTTAAAAATTCTAAACAAAGTTTAGGATAATAAAAAAAATATTTCATAACATTTGTTTAAAATTAGTTACCTTACTAGTACTAGCACAACAATCACTTTAAGCATAAAGTTATTAATATTATTAAACAGTTAATCATCATAGAAAAAGAAATTAATATATTAAAGAAAATTTACAATTTTCAGACCCGTTTACCCTCAAGCTCTAAAAATCGTACAATATCATCACAAAAGCGTTCAACACATTATCTTGATAGTAAAAAAAATATGCATACAGTATATAAAATGTATACACTTCAAAATCTTACACTGTACGCAAAATTGTAAGAGTAAACAGGTCTGAAGTTTAAAAAAAAACTAAAAACTGCACTACAGAAAAGTCATATGCATCAAATGTAAATATAAACGATTTGCTTTCTTTTCTATTGGTCTGTACCCTTGTGCTGTATAGTCAATATATTAGACTTTGTCTTTGTGGCAAAGCAGCATCCATTAATTCATCTGTTTATCCTTTAAATAAGATTATGTTTAGTGCTCATCAGTTGGTGTGCAAAACCGGATGGAAATAGAAAGTAAGAAACTAAATGAGCAAGGTAAGCCTTGGCCTCAGCTATTACGTATGCTAGGCTTGTTAAACAATTGAAAGAATTGTAAGCTTACATTTGTCAGTTAAAATACCACTTCGGGAGTGACCTTTTTAGCTTGCATTATTAATTTCCCTTGAAGTAACTTTAGCTTATCTTCTGTCAAGTGTTTCATCATTAATTGCACTACTGCAAACATACTCCCTTTAACCCTAAAATTCATAGATCTTAAAATAAATTGTATCCTGCTGTTCATAACTAACTTTTAATTAAAACGTAACAATTTTTTGGTCATCGTATATTATATTATTGACTACTTACTGCCTGTGCTTTCAAAGAGAACCTTGTCGTTTAATCCAAGTCTCAATTCAGGCATACCAGATAGAAACACTCGCATTTTGACTGATCCAACTATTTCACTGCGTAAGACATTCCCATTTGCACTGACCTGAAGAAACATAATCACATTGTAACCTTATGTCTTCTTATATTCATTTTATTATGTAGGCACATCGCAAAAATGATTCAGACTCTAGGCAAACAATTATTACAAAACATTATTGCCCCTCTATCAATTAGAAAGTTGGAAAGTGTTGCATACTTTTTTTACATGAAAAGTGCTTCAAACATCTATGTTAAATTCAAAAATATAAATAATGAGTCATATTTTAATAAATATTCACCAGAAGATTCACAGATTCTATCACATCAAGGAAAACTTCATTCTTGCGATATTTAACACCTTCTGTTCTCCAGGAAACTGCATTAGTCACTGCAGGAGGTGGCCGTGGAGCAATTTCAAGTTTTTGACCTTCTTGTGTTATATACCTAATGAATAAAAAAGAGATCATATTTGTCAAAATATGTAAAATTTAGAATACAAGACAATGTATTCATTATTTATAACATGAAACAAATAAAATACCAAAGTTTTTTCAGCATTATATTTAGAAGAGCTTGTAAAAGATTTTATTTCACCATTGCCCTCATAATCTTTGAATATTTTTCCAAAACCTCCTTCTTAAAAACAAACAAATTAATTGATTCTCAAAATACCAGATTCATCCATCTTATACATCTAATGTACAACAGTGACACATTTAAAGAGAGATGATTGTAAATATTATTTACCGGTACAGTAAGATTAATTTAATAGTCAGTAACAAAACTATGTGTTAACTTCTCCTTACTCTTGTAAAATTTTGCTATCAGTGGTCTGTGGATACCCAAAGTCCATGACTTCATCAAGCAGCTCATAAATTATAACAAAGTTATCTCGGATGCTTTCTTCTTCGAGTTCCTTGAAGTATTCCACAAAAATCTAACAAAAATAAAATGACTTTCATAGTGGAAGTTCAATAACATATTTTATTTCTTACATATTTTCAACTCACAAGACATTCGTAACATCAGTTATTTCACTGTATGTATTGGTTAGGAGGTAAGAAAAATGTGGACCATCTATTGTGTCCTGTTGACCTTATAACGTGTTCATTTTTTAATATGCTTACATTATAATTCCTGACTCACTACAATATTATATAATTTCATATTAGAATATTTTTTTAAAAAGTAGTATATTTGATTATATTTGTCACCTGAACCAGTTTATGTAGAAAAGTAAAAACAAGTGTCACATTGGCGTTCTTTTTGGATGTAGCCACCAGATAAAGATTGTTGTACTTGATGTACATGAAGGCCACATCCCCATGTTGAATGATGGGAGTCAAGTTGCTGTCTTCTTCCTTCTCCATTATCAACGTCATGAATTTGTCAATTGCCGACATATCAATATCACCACGATAATTGCGGCTTATCATCACCTACAAGGAAGTTCAAAGAAATAATTATGTAATAAAAATAGATAAAAGTGCCGATGATAAATAAAAAAATGAATTTTTTTTTTATAAACACTTCCCAATAAAAAACACGACAAGCAGTTTAGTTTTTAATGCTTAGCCATAAATGGTTCACATGTCATCTGTGGCGCCCCAACGGTCCAAGGACTAAGGGACATGAGGATGAGGAGGATAAATTGTACAAATAATGCACCTTAATTAGTACTTTTTTAATTTGTCAATAAAACTTTAAAATATTCCAATTGTTGCTCTTACCTTCCCCTTCACATCTAGAATGTATACTGCTGATGCTGACATTCTTAAAGATTTATAGGCTACGTTTAGGAAGAAAAATTACATGATGTTAATCAAGTTACACTCAAAGAATAATTTATAGTCATATGCAAATATTTTTTAAATATCTGCATATTTTTTTCAATAGTTATTTTCACTCATGATACATATATGTTAAACTATACATAAAATTCATATAACTCTGGGGTGATGTTGGCCAAACTGTACATACATTACGATAAGATGAGATTCTTTTAGTGATCCAAATAAAAGGGAAATGTTTTTTTTTTTATTATAGTGAACTTACTCATCTTCAGCACACAGATGAAAATTCTGACCAAGAAAACATTTTAAAACTATATCAATTTCAACACAAGACATCTTAAGTTTTTCTCAAGCGCAAAAATCATCCATTTCATACCATAGAACTTCACTTCCCTTGGCAATAATACTGACTTTGAGCACGCTGGTAAATTCAGGCAGATTGGGTAATTTTTTTATCTCTTAGTACTAACTTTGGGGAAAGGACTCCACCTGATCGAGCTGATCTTTTGAGTATTGATAAATGCAATTATAAGTGTTGGACTATTGGTGCTAGAATGTCCTAATCGGTTCAAGATTATGTTACCATAATTAACTAAGGCCTAGCTTATTATAGCCTATACTAGAGTTACAATTTCTAATATGGGAATAAGCTAAGACCACTAACAAGAGTAAGGCAAATTTTTAACCCAGTTAATCGAGTGAAGAAAATGTAACATAGTTACTAAGTTAGCACCCCAGTCCCCATCCCTGATTTCTAAACATTTTAACCTCAAACCTGTGCTGGAGATAATACTCTTACTAATTTAATAGCCTGTGACTGCTAGGCCAAACAGAACTTTAAAAAGTTAAACTTATACAAAGTCTTCTTAGTCTTGTAATGTTATGTTGAAGTTGTATCTTATTATTTTTATAAAAATTCCATTTAATAATTATAAGTCCAAGCCTAAAGATTATTATTTATTAATTAAATAAAATCATTAAGCTTAGGCCAACTTAGGGAAATCTGAATCACTCAAAGTAATTTTGTCATTAAGGAAGTGAGGTTTGATGATATATGATGGCTGATTTTTGCACTTAAGACATTTAAGACACATAATTACATTTATATACTGTTTTATTTCTAAGTTTTTTTATTTCAATCTAGGTACTCTAATACTTGTGTCACATGCCGTAAAAAGACATAGGCTGCCCACCGACAATCTCTGTGATCAGCTGGCATGGACCATAGTCGGAATATTTTGTGATTTGGCTTTTTTTGTGTGCATAATTTCAAAAAAAAAGATAAGCTTCTTATAGTTCAAATATGCCATTGATAGGGGTTAAAAAAAAGGTTGAAATCCGCCCATGCTGAGATAATTGGTTAGAGGATAAATTTTTCTCCATTTCTTCCTAAATGTGCCATGGTTCTGTAAAAATGTTAGTTTGCACATAGATAATATAATTATGTACCTACAAGAACTTAGGCTGATGTTAGCCCAATTTATAGTTTATTAAGTTGTTTCTTAATTATTTTATTTATTAATACCACCTATAGACCAAATTTACTATATTTCTTTAATTTTTCCTAAAATTGTCCCCTATTTTAAAATAAAAAAGATGCCACCCACATGAGCATGAGAACATGCATTTAAAAGTTATGTAGATTAAGTACCATAGCGTCAGCCAAAAAATGCTTTTCATTAAATAATAATTGTACATTTCAGATTAAATATAATGTTTTCAATTTGTTATATTCAAGCCTCTCTTCCTTTTATATTCACTGTATCTATTTCAGATGAACATTTCATTGCAGAAGCTTTATTTCTTTAAAAATTATGTATCTTAAGGTACAAATGTGTAGACTGAAGTCGCTTTCATTATTTATTTAATGTCGAGGTTAATTATTTTAAATGCATTTTTAACATTTATAAAACCTATATATTTTCAGGAACAGGGGTGACACTATCTTTTTCTACTGAATATTTTATATCAATAGCTTTACTAATTTAATAATTATGTCCTTTTAAAAAAAATTAAATTGGTTTTGAGAATTGTCGCAACTGATCCCTGATCCATATAAAATTACATTTTATAAAAAATTGAAATTAAAATTCATGAGTTGTTTTGTTTGTTGTTGTTTAACAATGTTTTGTTAATATTTTATCAAAATTTGCTTGCTATATCTTTAAAAGTAAAAATTTTGCAAACAAAATAGTTGGAAAAGGCTAATTATTAAAAAATCAAGGACGAAAAATTTCATAACTTTACTTTTTTAAATTATAGAAAGGTAATCTTGGTGTTGTTAGATATGCTAGTCATGCATATCACATGCATTTAAAAATTTGAGATGGAGTATCTATTTAATAAGAATTTTTCATCAATTGCCAGTACCTATTAATGTGCCCTATGGTGAAAATGCATATGCAAAAAAAACAAAAAAAAAAAGTAGGGCCTATTTACTGGATCAATAAAAGTATTAAAAGAATCTTATCTATGCCTATGCCAATATTCCCAAAATGGTGGTCTATGGACTGACATCAGTCTGCAAGCCTTTAATTACGCCTATGCTGCAGGTCGCACAACATAATATTTAATTAGGGTCAAACATTAATAAACAGAAAACAATCAATAGTCGGATAGATCTGACACTGGTCTTTTAATTTTAACTTTTATGAAATTTTTAAACTTGTACACCAGTACGCCAAACTTAAAAATTTGGGAAATGCTGATCTTGACTTTCTAAGGCATACCCCAAAGGCCTAAGTGGTTAAAGTTTAAATTTAATGTTCTCTTCACTTCACCCTTCTGGGCCTTCTCTCGAATCATACTCATACCTGACTGATAACTCTTTACTTAACTAACTTAAGTTACTCTTTTATCTTATTCATAGTAGTAAGTAGGGTATTAATAATTAATTAGTATTTGGCAGGCATTTGCTATTCAAAATCCCTAGTGACTACAAGTAATCAAGTCTTCTATAAAGTTTAAGTCTTCTACTCTACTCTGGTTGTCTCTGTCGAGTCAACAGAACTCACGAGTTGACTCAGACTCAGTCTCCGTCTAACTAGTTTATTCCGTGACTTTGTTATAATAATCGTTCACCAATTACAGTGTTTAAGTCAAAGTAAATCAATCGCCTCTCACGTTTTAAATTTTCATAACATGTTTTGATAAAATATCCACAAGGCTACTCCCGGGGTCCGATAAATTAAAATAAAAATAATGGGGGAAATCTAGCCGATCTATTATGATCAACTATCTCTTCCTCGGTAGGTGTTCCGGTCTCAAACCGGAAATACTAATACGTGTAAACACAAACATTTCGATCAAAATTGTATACAATATAATAATTTCGAATAAATCACACACGTGGTATAGTCTTTTGATGACACCAGCAGGGTTGATGAAAGGAAATAAAATGTACAAGATGTGTCTTAGTTGGAAAAGGTTACAATTGGACAACTACACAATGAGCGTTTTGGGCCAAAAACTGTTTTGGGCCAAAAAATTTTATAAAAAAAAAAAAAAAAAAAAAAAAGGCAACATGAACAATGCAGTTAAGGAAGGGTTAAGCTTTTTGCCACCCCCTTCCACGCTAAAATAAATATAAAGTGCCACCGGGAGCCCACTCTCTCCGTACGCCAAGTGTAACGAAAAGAAAAGGATTAAAGGACGTGGGGCATAGTTTTATTTTACCATCAATTACTAGGTCTACTCATTTTTTGAGATACCGGGTACTGATACTCTGAAATATTGGCTCAATTCTGTACAGTGTAATTAAGCTTTTATTATGGTGCAGTTAAATAGATATGTGGGGTGGAAATAATTAAACAACCTCTAAAAAACAAAGTTGTTCGTATGCATACAAGTAGCTAACTTTATAAGAATAATAATTTAGTGCCCCTTTCCGCCCTCACACATGCACATACATCACCGCTATCTCTTTANCAGCTATACTGCCATTGTACCTTCCATACCGCAGGGGTTTTCCTTTCCCTAGCATAATATATCAAAACAAGAAACAACTGGTATTTGTTTTCTGAGTACATGTATAAGTTGTTGTTTTTTATTTTTTGTTTTTTTTTTTTGTTGTTTTTTTGGGTTTTTTGTTTGTTTTTTTTTGGGGGGGGGTTGTTTTTTTTTTGGGGTGGGGGTGGATGAGGCTGAATCATTGGTAACGAGTCTATGAGCCATGTTTCAGCTCGATAGGTTAGCGGAAAGTGGGTCAATTATCCGTCCAAAGAATTTGCCAGCCAGCCACGAACAAAAGCCAAGTTAGTGCAAAGAATTTTAGAAAACAAGCCATCAAATAGTGCAATAGTCATCGGAGGGCAAACTTTGATAGTTATGTTATTTTGATGACGTGGGTGACGTGAGCTTGATCAGGGCCTCTGTGTCAGCTTAAACATTTATACGCCTATATGACGACAGGTGGAATAATATACGCCTATATGACAGATGGAATACTATACGCCTAGTTGACATCTGAAATAATATATACCTATGTGCAAGCCCGTTCTTAGGCATACGCTGACTACGCATCCGCGTAGGGCCCCGAACGTGAGGGGGCCCCCGTGAGGCACCCTCGATCCCCCAGGTTTTTTTTAACTGGCACTGCAGCCGTCTGTGTCACTCACGTTACCTTCCTCATCCTGAAATTTATAATTCTGAGTTGAATTCGGAGGCAGGGGAAGGGAAGCAGCAGGGAGGAGCTTTGGGGGTGGCAGACAGGAAATCGGGGGGGGGGGCTTGGCCGTGGGAATGGGAAAGAGGAAACATTGATGAAGGCAGAATGCAGGTGCCGCAGTGGTGGGTGGTGTTTTCTCCTCAGCTCGAGGGAGCTCCACCCCCGGACTCCCCCTTCCGAGGCCCCCAACCTAAGCTCCATGCTTAGGGCCCCCCAAACTCCTAAGAATGGCTCTGCTATGTGACAGATTAAATAAAGTATTTCTTTAACATAAAAAGAAAGAAAAAGTAGGATTTAGCCATTACTATTAGTAGCAGTAGTAGTAGAAGTTTTATATAGCGCGGTACCCTAGCCTAGTGCTGGGCTCACCACACTGTACATACAATTTAACAAACATAATCATGAACTTAAAAATTAACATACATGAATTAAATTAAACAAAACAAATGTATATTCAATCCACTCATTCCAGAACTATTTACATGTCAAGCCATGGACGGCACCCAGCAGCAACGATTATCGGTCAGAGGGGCGAATAGGTCAGGATAGTAGAGTTTAAAGAGCTGTGTTTTGAGTGCAGTTTTTAAGAAGGTGATGGTCGGTACATGGCGGATTTGTTGTAGAAGAGAACTCCATTGTTTGGGGGCACAGAAAGAGAACGATCGTTCACCGTATGTTTTTGTGCGAGTCTTGGGGACAGAAAAAATACAACAATGTAGAACTTTCTAGAACATTCTAGATTAAAATTAATATCCTCCTGGAAACGTGTAAAAAATTACTTTTCTAAGTAATTATTTTTCGTATACGAAAAATTCTATAGCTAAATACACTACTTATTATAACTATAGTACATTTAAGTTGAACGAGGGGCCACAGCGGGGGTCCATTCCAGAATTGTGCCGAAAAAGTTTTGCAAGAAATGGGGGCCCCATAAAAATCATTCAGATAAATTATGGAGTTAAAATTTAAAATTTGTCCCATTAAAATCTATTTAATAATGCCATAGATATAGGGTTATCGAACTTTCTGGAAAATTCTAGATTGGATGTTCTAGTTCTAGTTTTAAATCCACCGATATTTCAATACGGACGATGAATTGTTTTTCTAGCACGCTGGGCTTGTATCCATCAATTCACATAAAACCTATAGTGTTTCGAACCTATTGATATTGATATAGCTTATTTAAGGAAAAATGAAATTGGACCCTGCCCCAGAGGAATGGACATTAGGATTTTAGTACCCTTCCGTATTTAAGTATGGATAATCAAGTGTACGTGTACTAAGGTTGGACAAGATCCATCTATTTATGTGCGAGTATTTTTTGTTAATTATATTTATATACCTAGCTCATAGAAGGAAGAAAAAAAAACGAATTCGGGGCCCCCTGACCCAAACGCAATGTTATAAAAAGTTAATAACCCCTTAAGTGTTCCTTCCGGATAATGATGGATATTTTGTGCAAAGTTTATTCAAGATCCAGCAATCCACGTAAAAACCTTTGTGGAACAAAGCCACAACCCACATTTCCACAAACCGACAAACAAACTTTCTATGTATATGATTCTGATGTCCCAACCATTTTTAAACCGAATATCTTTGACACTGATCCTAAATTTGAAACGATTTCATTTTCCGAAAAGAGACTATTACGGAACAATATTTTTTCTTAAAACATCGTTTAGCATAGTTATCGGGAATTGTTTGCGCGCTATTGAGCTCATTTTTTAACCATACTTTATTTCAAACATATAGATTTATTTGTAATATACTCTCAATATAGATTTATTTGTAATATACTCTCAATATAGATTTATTTGTAATATTATACTCTCAATAAAAAAATAGTCGCTTATTAAGACGCACTCACGATTTTTAGGAAACGTCACAAGCTCTTCTACTGTCTGCACAAACTTCGGGCTCATCATTAAACCACACAAAACTGACGTCATATAGGCCTACCAACCAGCTCTTCGAAGCCCTTGTGTTTAGCCCAACATCCAAGTATATGGCGAAAAACTTAAGGTGGTGAAAAGCTTTTCTTATCTCGGCAGCATGTTGTCCCAAACCATCGATGACGAGGTTAACCTCCGTATTGCGAGAGCCAGTGCAACCTATGGACGATTGACTACGAACGTATGGACCAGGAGAGGTATCAACACTCAAACTAAACTGAAAGTATATCAGGCGGCTGTTCTCCCTACACTTCTATATGCCTGTGAAACGTGGACGGTCTACCAACGCCATGCAAGAATGTTGAACCACTTTCACTCAACAAGATTCAGTCCCAGACACTGAGGTGCTCACACGGGCAGGTCTCCCCAGCATCTTCACAATCTTAATGAAGTCCCAGCTTCGCGGGACGTGTGAGAATGTCAGATGACCGTCGGCCCAAAAGAATGTTCTATGGTGAGCTTGAACAAGGAAAGCGGTTTGCTGGCGGGCAGCAGAAAAAAACGATTTAAAAACAACATAAAAGCCTCACTGAAAGCGTTCAACGTAAACCCAGACACGTGGGAGGAACAAGCAAAGGATCGAACTTCATGGCGTTCCACTTTACACAGGAGCTCCATGCAACATGAAGTTCGCAGAACAGCGGCTGCAGAGCGCAAGAGACATGCCAGG